CCCCCCCCAACTCACACACCGACACATATACACCATCCCATACCAACATGCTGTGATACATATTTTCCTCAATAATTATGTAATCAGAGAAAAGTTCACACCTGTTCAAAGAGGCACACAGAGATAACAAATCCCAAGATATAAATGTAAAGTTCCAATCAGGAACTGGTACAGAAAAGCAGACAGGAAGACATAAAAAGGCTGACACTCTCATAACTGAACACAAACTCCATAGCATACACAAACACAGATAGACATACATACCCCCTTCCCACCCTATGTGTTCCACCCAAAGCATTCATACCGCTCCAGAGAAGAGATCGGCAGGCAGATGGAAAAACTGGGTTCCCAGAGAGACCAGACAAGGAGGGGCAGGGAGGAAGGGAGGCGGACCTGAGCAGGAGGGAGGGGCTAGGTCCTAGAATAGGTAACCACACCTCAGCCTCCACCCCCATCCTCCTTTTCCAGGGGGCTGGAGATGACTACAATCCTGGCAGGCAGATGTAGCAGCAACAAGAGAAAGGGAAACTCCAGGGAGGGAAGACCTAAAACCAGAGCCAGACTTTTCAGGAATGGAGCTTGAGCCCCTCACACTCCGTTGAGACATTCCCCACTCCAGACCAATATTGACCCTGGGCTCATGATAAGGCAGTGCCAGACACAGAGGGGTCAAGGTGAGAAAGAGAGATCTGGGGACCAGGAAGACTATAAACCTAGCCTGGCCTCAGTCCCTTAGCAGTCCCAGGGCTAAGGTGCTCACTCAACTCCTTCCAGAGCACCCCAGCCTAGGGCCAGGGGACTGGGGATAGACAGTCTGGGGAGGGGGGAGAGTGGGAAGGGGAAGTATGCTGTGCCAAGCGGAGTCAAGTGACAAGGGAAAGGAGGCTGGAGCCAACTGGAATGTTAGACTGGAGCCGAGATTCTCAGGGGCGGGAGAAGGGAGAGCCCAGGAATACAGATGGCTCCAGAGTGGAGCCAAAGTACCCCAATTTGCCCATATGGAGTGTCTTGGTGTCCTCATTCCCCTCTCCCTGGAGTCCCCTCTCTACCCCCATCTTAGAGGCTCCCATGTCATCATCCCAGGCCCTTTATCTCTCCCCACAAGCCCTCATTTCTTCGTATCATCTCATTTTCCCTGAGGACCCTATGTTTCTCCAATTCCACACAGTTACATCTTATTTGCCAAGAGTTCTCATGTCAAGGATGCCAAGGGACTATCCTTATCTTGCCAGGCAATGAGCTTCAATTGGCAATGTAGAATAGCAAAAAGAGCACTGGACTAAGTAGGTCCAAAGTCCTAGCTCTGTCTCTGACTAACAGTGTGACCCGTGGGCAAGTCACACCTAGAGGAGATCTATGGGCCTCAGTTTCCCCATCTGTAAAAGGAGATGATTGGACTAGATGATTTATGAGGTGTCCTGTGGCTCTAGCAATCTATGAATTTACTGCCCATGGGGGACAGCACAGCTGTGTCAGGGAAAGCAACTGGAGAAGCTGAAGGCCGGGGAGGGGGCAATAGAAGAGTGAAGCTCTCAGCTCAGTAGACCACCCAACCACTGTTGGGAAACATCAAGAAGGAAAGATCAGGCCTGGATGGACCTCCCATAATGGGTTCGATTTCCCCCTAGAGATGCAGCTGGCTCTGGGGAGAAGCAGGAAAACAGCTGGGGGGACAGAGAGCAAAGGAGCCTTCATATAAAAGGTATTTGGGGGGTAGTGGCGCTTGGTAGTAACCAAACTGGGAAGGCCTGATACTTGGATCACTGAGCCATGCTTTGGTCCTACTGTGAAAGAAAATTAAATAAGGACCACAGATAAAGGAGAGGAGTTTGAGGGATACTAAAATGGAGAGGTAAAAAACTGAGAGAAAAAGGAAAGAGGAGAGGCTGAGGAACAGAAAGGTGAGAAAGAAAGCAGGGGTGAGTCTGAGGGCCCTAATGAAAAGTAGGGAAAATAAAAGAGCAAAGGAACAACTGAGGAAGATAGATGTGGAGAAATAGGGTAAGGCTAAGAAAATTATATTAAATTGAAGAGGACTGTTTGATGCTGGTGAACACAAAAAGCACCTGCTTTCCTGGAAATTACAATCTAATAAGGAGACATAACATACACAAATATCTACAAATACAAAATTACTTTAGTGAAGTGAAAGACGAGAGAAGTGAAAACAAAGATGTGAGATCCAAAAAAGGAATTAACTCCCTGGTGTAGGGAGCAGGGAGTAAGAGGAGGAAACAGGGAAGTCTTCATAGATGAGGCAACAGTTAAATTACACTTTAAAGGATGAGGAAGAATTCAGCTGAGGGGAAAGCATTCTGGGCATAGAGTACCCTGTGAGCAAAAGCACAGAGGTAGAAAATTCCAAGCCACGGACAGTGGGTCCAATTTAATTGCAGCATAGAATATTCCAAGGGGGAGGGGAAGAAAGTAGTATAAAAGAAGGCTAAAGTGGATGGGCGGTACTAAATTATGGAGGTTCTTGAATACTAAGGAGATTGAACTTTGTAGATAATAGGGAACCATAGAAGTGTGTTGAGCAAAGAAGCGACATGGCCAGTTCAATGTAAAAGCAAGATTAGTTTAATAACCCTTTGAAGGAATGATTGGAAGGACAGCAGAGTAAAAAGATGAGAGATTGAAAAAAACAGGGAGGGGAGGGTGTAAAACATATATGGAGAGGGAGAGAGGGTAACAATAGCTAAGATAGAGAAACACAAGCTGAGGAACAAGAGGAATTAGAAAGAGTGACTAGAAGTGAGAAAGGAGGTGATAAGACATAGAAGACAGGGAGAAAAAAGGGGGAAGATGAAGGATATTGAGGTGGAAGATAAGGTCACACAGATCAGAAAGTCCACAACCTGGTAGCATCCTCAGCTCCCAACCCCCATCCCTTTCCCCAGCACGATTCCCCACACCCAAACTGTATTTCACATTCCCTATTTCCTATGGCCTGTTTCCCCTCCCACCCACTCCTGCTACCTCCTTTCCCCATCCCCAGTCTTCTCTCCCCTCCGCCCTTCTCTTCCAGGCAGTCACTTGGTCTGTCCCTCCCTGTCTGTCTGTCCCTCCTCCCAGAGAGGGACGTCCAAATTGCAGTCCTTATTTCCAACCCCCAGATCCCTCACCCATTCATTCCCCCACCTCTGACCTGTGGATGGGCTCAGGGATCCCCTGGGTCCTCTCCGTTTGGGCCCTGAATTTGGAGGGGGGGGGTGCCTGCCGTGGGGCCCCAGGGCCTCCCGGTTCCTTGGCTTTGTCCAGTCAGGGCGGTGCTTAGTCCCAGCACAGGATCCTGGGAGCAGCTGCCCCGACCAGCTGCGGCCGGCTTTGTGGTGGTCATGGCAACGCCAGTCCCATACCCCTCTTCCAAGCCTTCTCAGCCCCCGCTGGGAGAGAGTAGTGCTAAGAGCCAGGCAAAGTGGGGGAGGGCAAGGTTAGAGGGAGAAAAGCCGGGGAAGAAAGGAGGCTTCCATGGGGGGAAAAACAGCTAGACAAAGCGACAGCTTGGACAAAGGGAGATATTTTTTAAGAGGCAGAGAGAGATGTGAGGAGACAACATTAAGAATATGTGTGGCTCTTTTTATTCAGTCAGCAAGATACGGAAGGGGTAAGATTGGCACAGGTAAGGTTTTAATCGAGTATCTAGTCCATGGGCTGAAAGAAGCAGCCTTTGCACAGAAGCTGAGACTGGAATTTGATGATAATGCACAGTGGGAATAACAGCTCACAGAATCTCTGAACGCCAGGGACAGAAAGGACTGCCCAACCTCTCTACCAGAAAGGAACCTTCCAATATAGCGTACTTTACAAGTGGCCATCCAGACCTGATGAAAGATCTCCAACGAGGGGGAACCTTCCTCCTTTCAAGGCAGCCCTTTACACTTTTGGACAGTGTTAATTGTTTAGAAGTTTTTCTTCAAATTGAAACTGGAATTTGAATCTTCGCAACATCCATCCATTGGTCCTGATTCTGCCCTCTGTGGTGAAACTGGACAAGTCTAATCCCTCTTCCACATGATAACCTTTTGAACACCTTAAGACAGTTATTAAGTCTCCCCTGAGGCTTCTTTTCTGACTTTATACTTCATCCCTGGATAATTTGTTCCTTTGCCTTTCAGTTGTAAAAACCAGGGTCACCTGGGTTCTATGGTTTATATCTGAGCCCTAGTGGATAGATAGCGGTAGTGCTTAAGCAGGGGCCCCAAAACCATAGTGAGGAAAATGGGGGCACAAGATGATAAAGTCTCTCAACTAACTCTGAGGGGTCAACTCTAGGCCTGTTTATGCCCACTGGCAATGTGATCATTATTATTTTTAACTGTAACTGTTTTCTGTATTTTCCAAGCCAAAATACCATTCCTTGGGCACTAATCCCTTATTAGAGTATAAGCTCCTCACCAAAGAAATCAAAGAAAGGAAAAGGATCCATATGTACATCAATATTATTAAAAGCTCTTTTTGATCTAGAAACAGACAGTATCCATCAATTAGGAAATGGCTGAACAAATTATGGTATATGAACAAATTGTGGTATATGTAATAGTATTATACCATAAGAAATGATGAATGAGATAGTTCCTGAGAATCTTGGGAAAACTTGTACAACTTGATGCAAAGTAAAAGTGGGCATAACTTTGAAAGAAGTTTTGAAAGACTGACTAATGCAATAACCAACCGTAAGTCTTGAGGATCATTAATGAAGAATACTACCCACCTCTCAATAGAGAGGTGATGGAATCAAGACACAAAATGAAACATATATTTTTAGACATTGAAAATGTGTAGATTTGTTTTGTTTAGCTATGCTTATTTGTTACAAAGAAGTGTTTTTATTTGTTATTTTTTTATTTTCAGGGAAAGGGGAAGCTAGCAATAGCATTGCTTGAAAAAAGAAAGAAAAAAAAGAAAAAGAAAAGAGAATCTTTAAAGCAGTTTGAAAAAAAAAACATGCAGAAGAGACCAAAAGGAAATACATTTATCACTATAGTAAATGTACTTAAAACTATGCCGTACAAGGATCAATATACTATCCTCAGTTTCTTTAGTCAGGAGAAGACAAAACATAGGAGGAATGTTTAGTAGGATTGTTGTCTTTGAGTTGTCTTCTGATCTTTTAATTGTGAAATGTGGTTGCCTTTTCTCAGTCCTCCTTGACTTCTGGGCAGCATTTGACACTTTTAATCACCCTCTGCTCTTGGGCATTCTATCTTCTCTCGGTTTCTGTGCCACTGCTTTCTTTCCCTTGGTTATCCTTCCAACTGTCAGTCTACCACTCCCTCTCAGTCTCCTTTATAGGCTCATCATTCTGTATCATGCCCATTAACAGTAGGGGTAGCTCTGTCCTGGGTACTCTTCTATTCCTTCTCTATACTTTCTTTCTTGGTGACTTCATCAGCACCCATGGGTTTAATTCTCATCTCTAGTCTGATGACTTCCAGATCTAATCTCTCTCCTAAGCTCCAGTCCCACATCACAAACTGCCTATGGGACATTTAGAACTAGATTCCCATAGGCATCTCAAATTCAATATGTCCAGAACTCATTAGCTTTTCCCCAAAACCCACCCTTCTTCAAATCCTGTATCTATTTAATGTGCCACCATCTTTCCAGTCATTCAAATGAACAACATCTAAGTCATCCTCCACTTCTTATTCTCCCACATATCCAATCAGTTGCCAAATCTTGTCATTTCTATTCCACAATACTTGTCTTGTCTGTGCCCTTTCCACTTACATGGCTACCACCCTTGTTCAAGCCCTTTTAACTTCTTGCCTGAACTACTTCAGCAGTTTCTTAATTGGTGTACCCGCCTCATCTTTCCAAACTATAACCTATCTTTCAAATAACTGCCAAAGTGATTTTCCACGTCACTCCCCTACTCAATATTCTCCAGATGCTCCCTATTACCTCTAGGATTAAATATAAGCTCCTCATCTGGCCCCAGTCTACCTTTCCAGCCTTATCATATATTAGTCTCCTTCACATCCAACCAAACCAGCCTTTTCATTATTCCTCATAAATGGCACTTTATCCCCCATCTCAGTGCCTTTGCATTGGCTATCCCCCATTTCTATGATGCATTCTCTCTTCACCTCCACCTCTTAGAACCCCTAGTTTGCTTCAAGGATCAGATCAAATACCACTTTCTATGGTAAACCTTTCCTATCTCCTTAATTACTAGTACTTCCCCCCCCAAAAAAAATTATCTTCAATCTATTTTGAATATACAGTACTTGGCACATAGTCGTTGTCATTTGTCCTTCATTTTGAAGAAGACCAATGTATCATGGGGTCTTGACTCTTGAGTGATTTAGATTTAAGTGAAGCAGAGTTCTATGAAGTCATCAGCTTCACTTTCTCTCTTGATCTCTCTCTCTCTTTTGGGGGGAGCAAGGCAATTGGGGTTAAGTGATACTGTCTCTCTCTTTTATGTAATATTTTATTTTTCCCCAATTACATGTTAAAATAATTTTAAGACTTTTTTTTTAAAGTTTTGATTTCCAAATTCTATAACCACTCTCTCTTCCAGAATCATCTCAGTCCAGTGACAAGGCAAAAGTCAGGGCAACTGACAATGGCCAGAGATGCAATGGATGACCTTGGAGTCTTCAATATCTGATCAAGCTCTAAGCACTCCACAGTGCCTGCTTCAGCTGCCTTCACGGCCACTGAAATAAATTGTTGTCATCTTTCCATTCCACTGGGGTAAATCTTCACATTCTTGGGTATCTCACCAATGGGTTTGAGACCAGTCAGTTACTGTCAACCTGGTTTAGCCCATCTGCCAAGATGGTTTTAGCAGGGTATGATCACTGCATGTGCTATAGCTTCTTGGACCCATAGGTGAGAGTTGGGTGAAAGGTGGGAGCAGCCCTGAAAAAAGGTCCTCACACCAGAGGCACTAGTGCTCCCTGAACACCCCATATATCCCTGGCATACAGTACGTGCTAAATAAATTCTTTATCTTATCTATCTCTCTTTCTATGTATGAACATGCTGTGTCTTCCAAAAAAAGATTATAAGCTCCTTGAGGGCACGAATTGTTTCACTATTATCATTGTATCCCCAATACCTAGCATAGTCTTTGGCACACAGCTATCACTTAATCAAAGTTTGCTGATTTAGTATTTGAAGGGCTATAATGTTGAAAACATATTAGACCTGTTCATTGGTGGACCCAGAGCTATGAATAAAAGTTACAGGAATGAAACTTGAGGCTTAGTATGAGAAAAATTCCTAGCAATTCAAGCTGGCCAAAAATGGAATTGGTTGCCTCTGAAAAGAGTTACCTCAGAAAATCATCCTAATTGCTGATTTCAAAGGGAGAGTGAATGACCATATGTCAAAAGGAATTCTTGATCCCTTAACAAGATGAGTTAAATGACTTCTGGATTCTCTTATCGTTCTAAGTCTTTATAATTATATTGTGAGATAGAGAGGAGAGGGATTATTCATCACCATCTTACCAATGCAGAAATAGCTATTTAGTCAGGTAGAAAGGTAGCTATTTACTTTGATGCATTCATAAAGGAAAGTAACGTGAATTGGGAAATGTATTGAGCTTGGAGACACTGAAGCTGAGTTTGAATCCCAGCTCTGCTACTTAATACATGGATAAAATTGGTCAAGTCACTTAACTTTTCCAGGCCTCAGTTTCTTGATCTGTAAAATAAGGGGATTGGACTAGAAATCAGGGATAGGGAACTTGCAGCTTTGAGGCCACATGTGGCCTTCTAGGTCCTTGGGTGTGGCCTTTTGACTGAGTCCAAGTTTTATAGAACAAATCCTTTTATTAAGGGGATTAGCTCTGTGAAGTTTGTATTCAGTCAAAGGGCCACACCTGAGGACCTAGAGGGCCACATGTGGTCTTGAGGCCACAGGTTTCCCACCCCTGGACTACATTATCTCTAAGAATCTTTCCTATTGTAAACCTATGAGTTCATCACTATACGGGACCCATTCTCAACTTAGGTAATCCTTATCCATTTTTTCCCCACAGCTCTTCCGTAGAGGATAGATTCAATGAACCAGAGGCTTTTCTGTTGATTTAATACCTCACAGTGCATCTATATACAACATGCCTGGCACAAAGTAAGCACCTAATAAATACTTGTTTCCTTCCTTCTACAATTCAGGCTCATTCTAGCTAGCCTATCTCCAACGTGTTTTGAGCATGCCCTTTATGCAAGTTCTTTCACAAAAGTCATCCTTGGTAACCTGCTACAACGTGCTACAACCTGCTTACAATCTCAGTCTTTCATTGTTATTTTCTTCTCACAGGTTCCACCCAACATTTCCCATGTTCCTTCCAGCTATAAATTTTATTATTTTATTTTAATT